GATCCCCATAGGAAAGAATTGCATAATGCTTTCCTATGGGCAGATTGAATATGCGCGCGGCTCTGGCCGCGCATGCACATTCGGCTCCACTCAGGAGCTGACGTCGGCAAGGGGAGGAGAGCCAAGCATTCTTTTTCCATGGTGGAATAGCTGACTTCCCTGGGTAAAAGCTCCCAGCTGAGATATGCTCCATTTGGTCGTCCCCCACTTGGCTTAGCACAGCTCCCAGTGTACAGGAAAGGTGCCAGTGGAGAGGTAGAGATTAAAAATTTTAGTGAGAGGAAGAGCAAGAGAAGGAGACAAAATGCGGATGAGAAGCAAGGGAATAGGATGAACTCTTGTTCCAAAAAGTAATGAGTACTATGCAGAAGATCCAATGTCCTAACCCTTCCAGCAAGGAGTAACATAAAGATTTATTTCTTCAAATAATATGACAACAATAGGTAACCTATTCATAAGTAGAACATCAGGTACTAACTTGTGGCCAGTAGGCCCTTAGCATTGAGGTATATGTATCCAATGCAACTTCACTTTGTCTCGGACTTGGACAAAAGTGTATCTGGTAAAGGATGCATGTGTGCATGGATACCAGTTCTGCTGAAGAGTGTTATAAGAGGGATGTCCCTTGATTAGTAATGATGCCATAGACGGGGGTTGTAACACTTTCACAACCAAGGTCATAGAAAAAAAACAAAAAACAGAAAACAAAGAAATTAAATGGCTTTAAAGTGTTGTGTCCATGTGTGTAGAGTTGCGGTTGTACACAAGATGGGGGTAGCGGTTTTGCTCATATAGACGTAATTTGGTCTGAGCAACTAGTGGGGTAAGAGGACCCAGGGACAACCAGCTCACTGCTCAAAGGCATAGGGCAGGCATAAACCTATGTGTAAGGGAAGGAACTTGGGATTTTTTGTGTGTTTTTATAGTGATCCTCTGTAGTTGGGTACTTGAGGTAAAGCAGATGGGAGAAATTTGCTGCCCATTTGGACCGGTCAACATGTATGTTAGTCACATTGGCATAATTTGGGGGAGAAAGAAAATGTGAAAAGAACTTGAAATGTAAAAAAAAATCTGATAACTATGTACTCTGTATCAAAATCTAGCCAGTTTGTTAGGTCCAAATGCTATCATCATAGTAGCAAATTATTCATTACATACAACATGAGTCATACACAGAAAAGAATTTAAGTGTAATTGGATTTTCACTGTGTTAGTCCATTTGTTTTGTTTATATTTTGCAAATTATAATGTCCCTTTTGTTGCTGTTTACAAATTTTTAACTAACTTCACCAACATGTTTATACTTCTCAAGGTTTTCTCCTTAGTACTCCAGAGAGGGAGAAAGAAAAAAACATACAATACCAACAAAACTCCATTAAAACAAGGGAGGTATTATAGCTCCCTCATGCCCCCATTTGCCATGCTGCGGGCATGGCATGTAATAAAAGACTTGTGATTAAGCTTAAATTTAAGGTACAGCTGTTGGATAGATCACTGTCCACCCTCAATGCCCTACACAGTGAGGATATAAATAGAATAAAGCATGGGGACATAGTTTGCCTTATGCACAGGCCCGTCGCTACCAGGCAAGCAAACTAAGCAATTACTTGGGGCCCCGAGCTGGCCTGGGGCCCCAAGCAGGGCCGGCGCTTCCTATAAGGCTGCAGCCGCCTGAGCGCTCTATAGAGAGCCTCAGGCGGCTGCAGCACTGCCTCTCTCGTCACCTCCCACTTCCCTGTAGCGTGGCCGAGCTCCTCTTCCTCCTGTCAGTCCGGCCGGGTACCGCGCCGTAAGGAGATTCAGTTTCCTGTTCCCAGCCGGACTGACAGGAAGTGCACACTGACAGGAAGTGCACACCGGTAACCGGCCGGACTGACAGGAGGAAGAGGAGCTCGGCCACGCTACAGGGAAGGGCAGGTGAGAAGAACATGGGGGGGGTAGTAAAAAGAACATAGGGAGGGATGGAGGGGAGTAAAAGAACACGGGGAGTAAAAAAACCATAGGGAGGGGAGTAAAAACATGGGGAGTAAGAAGGACATGGGGAGGGGAGTAAGAAGGACACAGGAGGGAAGTAAGAAGAACACATAGGGAGGAGGGGGAGAGTAGTAAGAAAACATAGGGAGGGGGAGGGGAGTAAGAAGGACACAGGGAGGGGAGTAAGAAGAACATAGGGGGGAGAGTAGTAAGAAGAACATAGGGAGGGAGGAAGGAGTAAGAAGAACACAGGGAGAGGGGGTGAGGAGATGAGGAGAACACAGGAAGGGGGGAGGTGAGGAGAAGGGGAGATGAGAACACAGGGAGGGGGGTGAGGAGAAGCGGAGATGAGGAGAACACAGCAAATTTTGAATTGTTGAACATGTTCAAATTTTATGCACAGTATATGCAACAGCAGTATTTGCACTGTAAACCTTTTTATTTATATAAAGTGGGGGTGAACTTAAAATGTATGGCTATGCTGTGGTTCCAAATTCCTTCAAACGGCCCTGCTTATGTACCTATAGTTTGACTTCATAACTCCACAACTAAACCAGAATACCCAGTGGGCATAGTTCCACCCTATGCCCCCATTCGTGTCCAGCGGGTGGGGCTAAAATAAATGTTTAGTAGTTACATGGATTATAGTGGATTTTTATTTGGCCTTTTCAGATCTGTAAAAAAAAAGATTTAAGAAAAAAAATATTAGCACTACACTTGAAACTCACCAATCCAGCTCAATTCACTGTCCTGTTGAAATGTGAATATCTTCCACAGCTTCATTTATTTAGAGAACTGAATCAGAATCCCTATCAGTTTATGGGTTTTTTCTGTAACCATTTTATTGTAAATTTTAAGAAAATGTCTAGTCCCAGCTTAGGAAATGCATCCCAACTGCATTAAGTTGTTATTACAACACTACTCTTAATATGCAATGGCAGTATCGGCGGTATCACAACTCTGACTTTTGGGTTTATTTATATATACAAAAATCATAGGGGAATTGCAAATGTTGTAACTACTCTAACACATTTTTAGCCAATATGGCCCAAAAATATTTGAAGAAAAAAAATAAAAAATAATGTTAATAATAATATTGATTAAATAGATTAATGTATGGCTAATTTTTCCAGTTTTCTTTGCCTAAAATGTGTTAATCCCCTGTCATTTTGGAGTTGTGAATAAGCCTTATTGATTTGCAATAATGACATGAGAAGTGAGTCACTCAAATGCTCTTTAAGAAAATCTATAAGCATGCCTTTGCAAGGTACTTTTACGCTAATTACTGTTTCTTTACATTCTCCCGTATAGGCCAGGGCTCATATACTTTTTTTAATTTTTTTCATTTACAATTTCACCATTACTTAACTCCTGTCCCATATAGCTGCTCCATCAAGGTGATCATTGCCTTCTCTGAGACTTCTTTCACAAGTATGATTGCTGTGTCAAGTATCAAAAGTTAGTGTTTCCCTAGTATCCAGGGCCGTCTTTAACATTGATTGGACACTGGGCAGGCATTTGTTTGGGCCCCCTGGATCCTGCCATCCCTCTAGCGCAAGAGCAGAGAAAAGATAGATCCTCATCTGTTGTATAATTCCAACGATGCTATGCCAGCTGGGGATCTACCATTTGTCCATTTTTGCAGGGCTGTATTTGTGAGCAGTGTTTGTGCATTTGAATGTGAGCATGTTGTTGTATACAGTATGTGTGTGCATGTAGGGTGTAGTATTGGTGTTTAAGTGTAGGGATGTGTTTCCATATACTTTTTGAGTTTGAATTCAGGGGTGTGTTTGTATGTAATGTTTGCAGGGGTGTGGTTGCATGTTGTGTTTGATTGCCGTGATGTATGAATGTCAACATTCACAGATATACATACACATTAGCACACTGATAGGCTGAACTTGATGGACGCAAGTCTCTTTTCAGCTATGTAACTATGATACATGCACACATCTGGACACACTGACAAAGACTGGCGTACACACACACAGTCAGATACACACACATACAGCCAGATACACACACAGTCAGATACACACACACACACACAGTCAGATACACACACACACACAGTCAGATATACAAACATCCACCAGATATACACACATACAGCCAGATACACACACATACAGCCAGATACACATACACAAATACAGCCAGATACACATACAGCCAGATACACACACATACAGCCAGATACACATACACACATACAGCCAGATACACATACACACATACAGCCAGATACACATACACACATACAGCCAGATTCACACACACACACACATACAGCCAGATACACATACACACATACAGCCAGATACACATACATACACATACAGCCAGATACACACACATACAGCCAGATACACACACACACATACAGCCAGATACACATACACACATACAGCCAGATACACACACATACAGCCAGATACACATACACACATACAGCCAGATACACACACACACATACAGCCAGATACACATACACAAATACAGCCAGATACACATACAGCCAGATACACACACATACAGCCAGATACACATACACACATACAGCCAGATACACATACACACATACAGCCAGATACACACACATACAGCCAGATACACACACACACACACAGTCAGATACACACACACACATACAGCCAGATACACACTCATACAGCCAGATACACATACATACAGCCAGATACACATACACACATACAGCCAGATACACACACATACAGACAGATACACATACACACATACAGCCAGATACACACACACACACACATACAGCCAGATACACACACATACAGCCAGATACACACACACACATACAGCCAGATACACACACACACACACACATACAGCCAGATACACACACATACAGCCAGATACACATACACACATACAGCCAGATACACATACACACATACAGTCAGATATACACACACACTGACTCAAACACACACACAGAGTCATATGAATTCACATAGTTTAGCCACCCTCCTTACCTTTACAGAAGTGTGGCTTCCCTGTGGTCCAGTGGGAGCTGGATGGCTGAGATTGATGGGGGTCTTCTTCTTCTTGGTCTGTATTTCCTCCTGCTCTCCATGTATGCCTCCTCCTCCCCAGCGGCACTCTGTTAATTGGGAGGAAGTGACCTCACAACACTTCCTCCCAGCAGGCAGGCAGACAGGGGCCCGGTCAGGAGCTCTGTTAAAGGGCCGGGGCCCCTGATTACATCACCTGCTGCAGCCCACCGGGATATTTCTCAGTATCCCAGTGGGCTGTTCAGACCTGGCTGCGGGCAGGGGGCCCACAGGGCAGCTGCTTTGGGCCCCCCAGGAGCAACTGGGCCCGGGGCAGCTGCCCTGTTTGCCCCTTGTTAAAGACGGCCCTGCTAGTATCGCCTCTATGGATTGCAGTTCAAACTATACTTAGTTGCTGATTTTACTCTTGAGCATGTAGCGTACAAGATGAATCACCTGTGACTCACTTCAACTAATAAGGGACCTGCAGACATGCAAATAGATATAGGAAGCCATTTTGTAAGTTGAGGTGTATGTTACATTGAAGGATATCTGGCACCTGAAGTTTTGTTGAACTGTGAGTCATGCTAAATAGGCACAAATACAAAATAAGTGTTTTAAAATAATCAATGTTTAGTAGATATATACCCCATGAAATTTTGAAGATCTTTGTCTGAAGCCTATGCAAGCCCTCCCTTTCTAACCCTGCCCAGATATTATGTGGCTGTCCAATCACAGACTTCCGATTACAGCTCTATTAGAAGTCTTTGCAAGGCATGTGCTCTGGGCAATTTTTGCCTCTTGAGTTTAGCTCCACTGAACTAAACAACCAGGTAGTAACAAGACCAGTTGTCTGACTGACAGCCTGGAGGGTGTAACAAGGTTAATGTATAAAAATGACAATTTCTATAGAAATGTGTGCTTTTTGTGAAATGGAAAAAAAGAGAAAACACTCTTCACACATAAAGCACATCATCATGCTAAACTGCTTTAGGTGTTTAGAGTGTCCCTTTAACTTAGAATTCTTGCAACAGATTATAGAAGTAGATAAATGAGCATAGCTAACATTTTTAAGTGGCATACTGAAGATCTAGAGGTGACTTTGAAAAAGTCTTCATGTGGTGAGACGTATGAGCCACTATTGGTATCTCTCCCTAGTCTCTAAGATTAATTTAAAAATAATAAAACAGAAGATGGAATTTTTGGCGCTTGTGTATTCTATGTTGGCAGCTTGAGCTCCCCAAACCAGAGTGGTAGGATGGATGTAACACAGAGATGCAGGGAAGCATCTCCTGTGATGATATTCTCAAGTTTGAAGAAATACAGGGGATAAGATGGGAAAACGTTATATAGTGTAGTATGTATTGAATACCTGATAAATACAAGAAAACGTAAGTAAGTGCATTACCCATCTTATCCCCTGTATTGCTTCGACTTGAGAATTTCATCACATGAGCTGCTTCCCTGCATTTCCCTGTTTAAGATTAATTTGTCCCAATGGACCCTTGGATAACTTTAATTAAATGGTAATTAATAGCAAACCAAAAATTATTTGCCTATGCAGCCAGAGGCTGCTTCCTGCATTGTGCTTTAGGACAGGCTAACTGACTAACTACTATTTAAAGGGTTACTCCAAGCATCATTACCTCTACAGCCCTCTGCAGTGGTTATAAGTAATACTAATCATATAGGTACACAATATCATTATAGGTTCCAGTAGTGAAACAATACTCAAGGATGTAAAAGAAAAACCTCACATCCAAATTCAAGATAAAAGAACTTGGAATAATCAAATATTTCTAAAACAATGCTGGTCTGGTAAAGATGCACCAGAAGAGATACATATATTAAAGATTCTGGAGAAATTTGGCATGTCAGACTGTAAACACAGACCAACACCATGTGAATAAAGGTTAGATCATGATGATCATAGTAAGCCTTCAGATACAAAGAAATCTCGAGAGATAATGGCACTTAAAGGGATCCTATAGTGCCAGGAAAACAAACTCGCTTTCCTGGCACTATAGGCTCTTGGAGTGCCCCCCTCCCTCGGGGTCCCCTCCCTCTGCGCTGAAGGGGTTAAAACCCGTTCAGCCACTTACCTTAGTCCAGCAGCAGGCTCAGTGAGACAGCCACTAGAGGCTGGATTAACCCTGCAGTGTAAACACAGCCATTTTTCTGAAACTGCTATGTTTTCAGCTGCAGGGTTAAAACTAGGGGGACCTGGCACACAGACCACTTCATTGAGCTGAAGTGGTCTGGGTGCCTATAGTGGTCCTTCAACAATATGACCAGATCTAAGTTGGTTTAGTAAACTAACATGTCAGGACCAATTGAACCATTTTTGGTCACAGCTAAATATGTGATGAGATACTTAAAACATCGCATTGTCTATGAGTTATGCTACAAGAAGTATTAAAAAGATTTGAAACTGGATGCATACAATGAAGCTAACTGGGTCTTTGATGTGAATGACAGAAGAACCCTGACTGGTTACTGCTTCAGTTTTACAGAGAAGGGTTCACTGATTGCATGGAAATCTAAGAAACAGTCTAGCCCAATCCTCATGTAAATCTGAATACGTTGCTTCAGAAAGTTTGTACCTGATGCAATTGCTCTGGGAAATAGAAAATCGATGATAATACTAACCAGTGATTCAAGGAATCCAATTTGTTATGAAAGATGCAAACATTTTGATATCAAGTACCACTTCATCCGATTAGTGGTCAAGGAAGGTGGCCTGGTCCTTGATTTACTGCCCACCCGACAGGATGCAGATATAATGACTACGCCTGCGACAAAGTTTCAATTAGAAAAGATCTTGAGTAATTTGTTTTGGATGTGAATTATTGTGAATAACACGTGTGAGAGCAAGTGTGGTTGTTAGGGATGTGATTCCAAGGTGCCCACT